TGTTCTTTACTCATTCACACAGGGTTAAAAGCATGTTCTTTACTCATTCACACAGGGTTAAACGCATGTTCTTTACTCATTCATACAGGGTTAAAAGCACGTTCTTTACTCACTCACAGAGGGTTAAACACATGTAATTTACTAATACAAACAGGGTTGAATGCATGTTCTTTGCTCATTCACACAAGGTTAAACACATGTAATTTAGTAATACACAAAGTGTTAAACAAATAACTGTTTTGTGATATGTGGAGGACAGAAGAGCAAGCAATAAAATGTAATAGACACGTACAAAAATATATAAATTTTTTAAAAGGTCACACTATGTAAATCAAAATGTCAAATTATACACAATAAGGTCAAACTGTATACATAAAGGTCAAATTATACATACATTACATATCAAATTATACACATAAGATAGAATTACACAGATATTACATATCAAATTATACTGATAAAAGTAAAAATAAACATACAAATAAGAAAGAAAAATTATGTATAGAAAGTTTACCGCATATACATGAATAAGTAAAATTATAAATATATTTCCAGGTCAAATGAGAATATTAAAAAACTAATATTTAATTAGATGAATATAAGATGGATTTTTAACTATCAAAGTTGAATTATACATATAAACAAGAACAACAAATTATATACTTAAATGCAAATTAAAAAGTCAAATTATATGTATAAGAAATAAAATCAAATATTACACACAAATGTAAAAAGAATTATACATATAAGAAAAATATCAAATATTACACATGAATGTAAAAGGAATTATGAGGATAAGAAAAAAAGATCAAATACACACAAATGTAAAAGGAATTATACATATAAGAAAAAAAGATCAAATACTACAAACAAATGTAAAAGGAATTATACGTATAAGAAATAAGACCAAATAATACACACAAATGTAAAAGGAAGTATATGTAAATGGCCTCATATTCCACACAGGTCAATACTAAAAAGAACATGTAGAAAATACAGCTAATATAAAGGAATTATACAGTTGCAGGAATGCATTTCTGAACAAGGATACTGGACAAACAGGGTGTAGGTGACCAGAACATTTATATTTTGTGTGTGCGCGTGTGCCTGCGAGTATGTGTACATGTGTATGTACATATGCTCATATATATGAATATTCATGTTAAATTAACGGCCAACTGGCATGGGTGATCAGGCCTCTTCACAACTCCTGCTCACTAATTCTTTATGAATTCACTGATTAAGATGAGAAAGTGATGCCACTGCACCCAGGACCAGATAATATGTGGTCAGTCTCTCCCAGCAGAAATCAAAAGCATATATATGATGACTGTCTCTCTTGCTGGTAAGCTATAAACAGTAACTCTCCCACAGGCTTTGACTCCTGGCTCCAGCAGGCATGACTGTGGAGATCCCCCAAGAATTGTGTCACAATTGATATCCACAGTTTCAGATAAATGACTAACAACTAATACCACAGACCAAGAAGAAGACAAACACAGGCACACTACATGATGTGAGCACTGAGGAGAACTGGCTCATAAACAGCATCTTGTTTCAACAACTGAGGTAGTCTGGCCATGTTAAACGTTATGGTGGCATGGAGAGAACGGTGATGGAGGTTACAGTTTCTGGAAAGTGAGGTAGAGGCAGACCTTTGCGAATGTGGATATAGGACCCTGAAGTTGCATTGACTATGAAAGCACATAAGGCTGGAGAACTGGCTGAAGAGAGAGAGAGAGAGAGAGAGAGAGAGAGAAAGAGAGAGAGAGAGAGAAAGAGAGACAGAGGAGAGAGAGAGAAAGAGAGAGAAAAAAGAGAGAGAGAGAGACTTTCAGGGGTGCAGTGATGAAAGTGATGTTCTGTAAAGAGCCTGCTGATTGACAATAATGAACAACTTCTGCTTCTCTGTCCATTTACAGATGTTAGCCCCAATACAATAAGAGAAAGCAGCAGTCAGTGTGAGTTTGCTGGCACTCAAATATTTCACACATACAAGAAACTGCCTATTACAACCTTGCCTCTAAAATACCTGGTTTGTCCTGTTTAAATATTTCACACATACAAGAAACTGCCCATTACAACCTTGCCTCTACAATGCCTGGTTTGTCCTGTTTAAATATTTCAGTCAAACAATGGCATTTTTCTTCTTCATACATTCTACAACATGAACCTGAATACATTTAAAGAAAGCAGTGGGTGAATCTGAGTGTGCCGACAGAGGTGCCGGTACCTAGAGGCTGCCCCTTGAGCTCCCACACAAATTTTGCATGGGAGCTAAACAGCTCCATTTAACCAATTATAGAGCTCTTTACAACTATTAGTTGATATATTTCATACTCTTTCAAATATACTTATATATTTTTTTGTCAATCAGCACATTATTATTAGGCTCTTAAACTAGGCTCAGCCTTTTTGAGACCCTCCACTCCACCTATGCTTTCATTATGTTGACAGCCCTGCTTGCTGAAATCTCCAAGAGCTTATCCTCCACAAGAGTGGGTGTAAGGACTCTATTTCCCCGCCTTTGGGTGTATTGGGCATACAGGGCCACACCTATATTTTATAGACCAATCAGCACTCGGTGGGTGATCAAAGACATCACGGTGCCCGGCTTTCCTTCCCAGGACTGCACCTGGTACCCACTCAAGGCTGAGTTGACCTGGGAGCCATAGTCATTTTTTTAAGGAAAAAAAATTATATCCATCATGACCTTTCGATCAGCAGCATCAGGGCGGCTAAAAGTGTGGATGTAGGCTTCATTAATTGTATCCATCTGCCATGTTTTGGACAAGATTAAATGTTGTGGACAACCAAACAGACATCTACCCCGTCTCTGTAATACCCAATTTGTCCAGCTCAAATACACCAAGAAATGAATTTCATCCATTTCATGACCCGAGCTCATCTGGTATATAAATCGTATTCTGAAACTATATTTCACATTAAAATTAATGTCAATAATTGTAATTCATTCAAGCCATTCAAAAATCACCCCACTGGTTTCTTTTCACCTGTGTTTATCATATTAACTGCAATACAATAATAAATGATTAAAAACAAAATACTGAAAAACCTGAATAAATTAGCCGATAATTTACATAAACTTGCAAAAACTTACTTTGGAGATCAGGTGGCAATGGCTAGGGAGAGTAAGGCGGAGGGAATAGTTATTTTTTAAATCACTAACATGGTACACGTCGGCTCTGTGGCTAAGTCGATGCAAACGCTTCGTAATGCCGGGATGCCAGGTTCGATCCTAGCTGCAGGCCATGCGCCTTGCTTTGGTTTCGACAGTGGTATCAAGAAAGCCGACCGTCCAGAAAGCAATGGCAAACTACTGGACGTAAATTTGCCAAGAGAAAAAACACAACAGCCAGGGGCTGTTGGTTCTGCAACGTCCTGTAAACGATACGCAACTAACCTTAACATGGTACACACAATTGTTATTTTCCTCCCTAGTTTTGGGAGCTCTTGTCTCTCCAGCTGGCTTCCTTGGTTAAGCCTCGTACTCTTGGGCAAAAGACAAACTGGCGAGGCCGATCTCGTATCTTGAAAAACTAGTATCCAGGTACACTCATATCCTGCATTTCACTGTATTTCAAACAGTAAACCATTCTTCTTTGTCATACGCTCGCAGATGTCAAACTCAAAATTATGAAAGAAAGCAGCAATCAAAATGATGCTTGTCGATGCTCTAAATATGAGACACACAAAATGACAACTGAAAATGTGCCCATACCTGCATAAATATGGCACATAAAACAATGGAGAACAAAACTGTGCCTACACCGCCTATACTTTTCGTTCAGTTTTATATCTTTTCTACACAGTTCATGATTCATCTACTGAAATATTTCACAACAAAACAGGACAAACTAAATACTCCTGTTTATAACTGTTCCTTCCCGCTGATGTTTACAACTGCTGCTCCTCTCTGATGCTTTTTCATCTTCCTACTGATGCCTAACAACCCCCCCCCCCCCCCCCACTCATGCCTAGAATTTTTCTTCCCGATTGATGCTTAGAATGGTTGTTTCTCACCAACGCCAAGAAATTCTCCTGCCCACCGATGCCTAGAATGATTTCCCCACACCAATGCTTAGAACAGTTCCTCCCCATAAATGCCTAGAACAGTTACTCCCCATAAATGCCTAGAAATTCTCTTCCCTACCAATGCCTAGAACAGTTACTCCCCATAAATGCCTAGAACAGTTACCCCCCATAAATGCCCAGAAATTCTCTTCCCTACCAATGCCTAGAACAGTTCCTCCCCATAAATGCCTAGAACAGTTACTCCCCATAAATGCCTAGAAATTCTCTTCCCTACCAATGCCTAGAACAGTTACTCCCCATAAATGCTTAGAAATTCTCTTCCCTACCAATGCCTAGAACAGTTACTCCCCATAAATGCCTAGAACAGTTACCCCCCATAAATGCCTAGAAATTCTCTTCCCTACCAATGCCTAGAACAGTTCCTCCCCATAAATGCCTAGAACAGTTACTCCCCATAAATGCCTAGAAATTCTCTTCCCTACCAATGCCTAGAACAGTTACTCCCCATAAATGCGTAGAACAGTTACTCCCCATAAATGCCTAGAAATTCTTTTCCCCACCAATGTCTAGAACAGTTCCTCCACACCGATGCCTAGAATGGTTCCTTCCATAAATGCCTAGAAATTCTTTTCCCCACCAATGCCCAGAACAGTTCCTCCACACCTAGGCCTAGAATGGTTCCTTCCATAAATGCCTAAAAATTCTCTTCCCCACTGAACAGTGACTTCCTGGTGATGCTTAAAAATTCTCCTCCACACCTAGGCCTAGAATGGTTCCTTCCATAAATGCCTAAAAATTATCTTCCCCACCAATGCCTAGAACAGTTAGTCCCCGGTGATTCTTAGAACGGTTCCTTCCATAAATGCCTAAAAATTCTTTTCTCCACCAATGCCTAGAACAGTTAGTCCTCGGTGATGCCTAGAAGTTCTCCTCCCCACCGAGGCCTAGAACGGTTCCTCCCCACTGACACTGCTGCTGACACTCCTAGATCGAGATGCCTGGCAAAGTCTGGGGCTGGACTCGATGAAAGTCTCGTGTGACATGGCCACCTGCTCCGTGACGTCCAGAAGTCCTGAGACCATTGCCAGGCTGGCCATTGCTGCAGAGCTAGCTTCTGATGCTACACCAGGTTCTTTGGGATCTTTGCCAGCAATGGCCATTCTGAGGTCATGCTGAATTTTTCTGAATGGAAGAATATAAACAGGTTAACATCCTGTTAGGGATATATCAGACACACATACATTCAACTCATTTAGTACCAAACAACTCCTTCCGCCTTTGTGGTCCCCACTGACATAATATACCCTTGTGGACTGTGTGTGATCCGTCCAGTGATGATACTAACTCAGTCTGTACCAATAGTAACTTTAACTCATTGTATTCATCAGTGTTATTATGCTAACCCTTTAAATTCAAACATGTATTATCTAATGTAACCATCTATCGAACAGAATGAGGTAAAGTACTATACGCTGACTTCAGAAAGAGTCTATATATCATTTATGTAACTGGGAATGTTCCTTCATTTATTGTCCTGCTACAGGTCACACAGGACTTGTAGTCTATTCCTCCATTCCATTCTATCCTGTGCAATTAATTCAACATTATGAATGGAAGGAAACCAGTTTAGCCCCTTTGGCCTCTCTCATCAACGTTCATTTTATGGTTCCTTGTGGACGTCCTCACTTCCACAATCTCTTTATTATTTGGTGATTCTCTGCTCGTTTCTTCTCAGGATGTGTCCCACATAACGCCATCTTCTTTTTCTTATTTAACATAATGATAAATGAGGATTGTCATTACAGCACTCTGGAAAGATATATATATTGTATCTTTTCTGTGAGGTAAACAAGTCAGGCTAAGAGACGGATAACCCATGGTCTCTACAGTACTGCCCAGCCTTTGCCCTGAAATCTTATGCTCTAACTGTGGAAGGCTTTTATTAACGTCAGCAGGTCTTGCTAGTCACACTCGCTATCGCCATAGGGCGCCGACTCCCATGCCTCCCAGCAGCACAAATATTTTTAAGCTGCCAATAAAAATGTTTCATAAATTAGGACATAAAGTGAACAGATGCTGGACAGTTTTACATCATGGCATGGAAGATCATCTGCATCAGAGTTGATTGAAATTACACGAGACAGAATGTTGTAAATAGACATGTCTACCAACACTACATGGCATAGACTGTAAGAAAAATAATCAAAATAAATGGAAATATACAGTGTGTTTATAATTACATCACCGGGAATATAAAGTGCTCATACAATTTACATATGAGAATTATAATGTGTGTATAATTTATATAAATGGAAATATACAATGTGTTTATAACCATATAACTCGGGATATAAAGCACTTTTACAATTTACATATGGGATTTACAATGTGTGTATAATTTATATAAATGGATTTATATAATTTGTTTATAACTATATAACTGGTGATATAAAGCGCATATACAATTTATATATTGGATTTACAATGTGTATATAATTTATATAAATGGAGATATCCATTGTGTTATCCCTATATAACTGGGGATCTAAAGCGCTTTTACAATTTATAAATGGGATTTGCAATGTGTATATAATTTATATAAATGGAAATATACAATGTATTTATAATTATATAATTATATAACTTGGGATATAAAGCGCATATACAGTTTATATATGGGAATTACAATGTGTATATAATTTATATAATTGGAGATATACAATGTGTTATTACTATATAACTGGGGATATAAAGCGCTTATAAATTTATATTTGGGATTTACAATGTGTATATAATTTATATAACTGAGGATTATTACAGTAAATCTTTGGTAACATAAACTCTAAAAAGAACACTTGGTTAACATGAGCTAAATTGCGGTCCCAGCAGTGATGTATTGAGTTCACAGTTAGCAGGAATGTTTTGAAAAATGAACTCTCGGCTCCTTGGAATTCATATTTCAAAAGAGGTTTCACTACATGTATATACAAATGTTACAAGAATGGAAAAAAAAATTTCAGAAACTGTTTCTATCTCACCTGATCTTATCTTTACTGTTTGCTATCTGGCTATAGATAATCTGAGCATCAACATCTGGATCTAGCGGATCCTGCCAATCTCCGAGGACCACTCCGTGGTAGGTCGGACTGCAGCCGGCGGCTTATCACAAAAACCAAATCAATAAAAGTATCAAAACATCATCATCTTGCTGTATGGCATAGACAAAGATATTATAACCATTTAATATATAAAGACATACATAGATGAACAGAGTGAAGCGTTAAATGGAATACATAATATACCTACTGGATGACTCATGCCATGACCTTGTGACCTCTATCACTGAGGTTTACTGAAAAATATGACGTCAACTCTTTTTTTTTTAAAATCATTTCATTTGAAGGACCCCCTCCATGCTATTTTTAGTTAACTGTATATTCACATCCTAACTTCATAAACATTTGCGCAGGCATGAACACAGGGAATAGCATTCAAATAAATGTCCAATAAACCGGTCACAACAGACAAGTCAGAAAAGTGACATATATGGGGAATTGACCCAAACCGGAAATGTCAGTTTTGTGGCTTCTCAGGGCAACAGGATTAACTCCTCCTTTCCAAGTAGGAGTTGTTGAAATAATAAACATTTGGCTTGAAGGAATTAAAATAATAATACCACGGAACAACAGAAACTGAAGTTACACTTTGATAGTGAGAAGCCGACTCCTGAATGGTGAGAATGCTGGACTAAACTGGTTACCTGATTTACACTGGCAACCTAAAATGGGCACCTGAATTCCCCAGGTGGTGCTGACATCCTAAACTGGGTACCTGAATTCCCCAGGTGGTGCTGACAACCTAAACTGGGTACCTGAATTCCCCAGGTGGTGCTGACATCCTAAACTGGGCACCTGATTTCCCCAGGTGGTGCTGACATCCTAAACTGGGTACCTCAAAATTTTCTGGACAGTCAAGCTATTAACATGACAGTAATCTCATCAACCATCAAATACCTGTTGGTCTTTAAAACTATACAGTTAGCACCATAATACCAAAACAGCTCAAGTTTAGAAAAAAAAGGTCCTTCACTATGACCCAACAATTAGTGTCAAATATGACACATATGTCTCTGTAAGGTCACTAACAGTGCAAGAAGGTGCAGGATTACCAATATGAGCATAACAGAGCAGCTTGGAGCAAGGCTGTGTTTGAATTATATAGACAGACAAAGAATCTAAGGGTTCTGCCATCTAGTGAAAATGCAGCCCAGGCCAAGCTGTATAGGAGACTTTTTACAGCAGAACATCAGGGAGGGAAAGACCACGAAAGAGATGGATAAATGTTGTAGCTAAAATCTGCACACATACACAAACACACACACACAGATGAAAAAATCCACCCACCCAAGACACATGAGAAGTGCAGGACTAATACAAAAACTAACCATGACACTGGGTTACAACCTGGGATCAGTGAGATGACAAAAGAAAAAGAAAACCTATGACATTCTTCTTCTTCTAAAGAATGCGGCTGGCATAATGAGTTGTGGTTTACAGCAAGACTGTGATATCTGCCCCTCTAGGCCCAAAACATCAAATTTCAGCAAACTCCTAAATAGCCGCCTTGTTTGGAGAAAGGGGTGGGTGGGGAGGGGGACGAGGGGGTAGGAGGGAAAATCTACTCTTTTTTCTCTAAAAACTGACAAAACTGCACAAAATGCTGAGTTTGACTTTGACAGACTGTAAAGCAGATACAACTAACTTAACCAGCACATAAGATTAGAGTGACCTACCTGTATCCTGTTCCCTCCTACAGCAGTTCCACTTATCTCCCTTGAAGACGCCCGGATGAAAAGTCTCGATTCGGCAAACATTGTATTTACAGGTTTTTCTGATTGCAGAAATCCAGGCAGTTAATTCATTCACATCCTAAACAGAGACAATACAGTCACGTTCTGTGAGGAATGTAGTTTAAGCATGTCACATACAATCAACAATATAGCTTTAGTACTTTATGCATAGGAGGATGAGGAGGAGAAGGATGAGGAGAAGAAAAAGGAGGAGAGGGAGGAGGAGAAGGAGAAAGGAGGAAGAGGAGTAGAAGGAGAAAGAGGAAGAGGAAGAAGAGGAGGAGGAGAAGGATGAGGAGGAGGAAGAGGAGAAGGAGGAGTAGGAAGAGAAGGAGGAGGAAGAGAAGGAGGAAGAGGAGGAGGAAATGGAGGATGAGGAGGAGGAAGAGGAGAAGAAGGAAGAGGAGAAGGAGGAAGAGGAAGAGGAGAAGGAGGAAGAGGAGGAGGAAATGGAGGAGGAGGAGGAAAAGGAGGAGAAGAAAAAGACACAAAGACTGGATTAACTAATTTAAGAATCAACATCACAGCACACCGGTCATACCCACAGATGCTCCGTCTCCTCTAGCACATGTCTTTGAGGTGTAGATGCTAACCGTTCCCATAGCAAACTGATTGTATACCTGCCATTCTGTTCCTCTCATACTTCCATCCTTGCTGGATCCAATCCTAACTCCGCACTCACACATTCTTACACCCATCTCATGTCTTCTTTCAGTTTTCGTTCAAAAGACTGCAGCAAAGACCTACTTTGGCTTGGAAGTAAATAATAGCAGTGTTCTCATCGGATGTCTTGTGGATGATCTGGCCCATGTTGGACTTGCCCAAAGCTCCGTAGTCTAGTTTCTCCACAGCGCAGATATTCTCAACCATCACCATCGTGTCCTCCTATGAGACAAAATACAGCAAACTTAGAAATGAAGGGTACCAAGCCAAAGGGTTGCAATATCCACAGTACTGAGCCAAAAGGTAGACAACACATAAAAAACAGTTATAAGTGGCACAAATGGCAGAGTATAAACAGAAATCCAACGGAGAATAGGAATGGCTATAACTATCTTCAATAAGATATGCAAACCTGAAAATGTGGATACACAGAAAAACAGGTTGTATTTAGTGGAAACAACCACAATCAAATACAGAGGTTCTAGAAAAACTGCAAATGAAAAAAGAATTATTGATAGAAATAAAAGACAAGTGAAATATTTTGGCCTTAGTAAAATAATAATAAGCTTTGGAACTGGTTGCAAAAAGCAGCCCAGGATAAGAGTAGCTTCCCTTGCCATTCATGCCTTCTTAGGTCACTGAACCTTTCCTTTGTTGCGAGGGTGTTATGATATGGCTTGGTTTGGCGTTCACTCAGCGTATTTGATGTTTGTGGGCGGTTGTGTTGTTGTGAGTCTATTTCAGGCGCCTGTGTACATATAAGAAGTACTGCAGGGAGTAGAGCCGCAAGTGCAATGGTTTTTGGCTATCTAAACTGGCAGGTTTTTCTATTTCTACGTTCGTTGGCGGTGGCTTCCGCCCGAGAGAAAGAAAGCAGTAACAAGGAGTGTATAATAGGAAAATATTGCTGTTTCCATACTCCCGAACCGTCGCGGAGATAGCCGAACCTGAAAATAAAAAATAAACACGCAAGCGAGCGGTGAGAAGACGAGAAAAGAGGCACCAATTAAAGCGTTCACAATAAGGAAGACATGACTCCCCTGCAGCACAGGAGAGTTCCAGCTACCTGTACCTAAGCTTTTAAAAACCATACTGGAGGGGTCAGATCGAGGACAAGACAGCAAGAGGTAGATTACAAAGGGGAGGACAACATCAACAGATGGACAAACAGCAGTCTGAGAGAGTGTACAACCAAGACAAGAGACAGAGAGTGTTGGAGATTTATTGCAGCCAACCTTGACTGTTGAGACGCAGTCTCTGTCTGACAAGAGGCAAGACAATAATATTTATTTGTAGAGAACAGAGAAAAAACAACAATTGAGATGGTTTGGCCACCTAACAAGAATGCCCTGGTACCAACTGCCACAGAGCCACACTGATGAAATATAATGAACACAGATCAAGGGGAAGGTCACGCAAGATATGGAGCAATATCATCAGAAGCAACCTAACATAAATGAACACCAGCTTGTAAAATGCAGTGGAAAAAGTGCACAAATGATCCTTACACTGTCCCCAACACCTTGTTGAGGTAAATGGTGCATGAGAAAAAGAAGAAGAAGAAAATAGGTGCTGTTATTGCCATCGACTCACAAAGCATGCTGAGAAAGGTGCAGACAAGCTCTATGCAGAGTGGAAAGCATCATTTCACAGATCTTGGTCCCCGTGTGGGTTCCGGAGCCCTATTGTAGGGAAAACAAAAAAAAAGACCCACTGTCTACCCAACAAGCATGTTGTAAGAGTCGACTAATTGGTGGCTTGCTACAAAGTCGGAGTGCTTTTGCCTGAGAGACAAGGAACCAACAATCTGCACACAATTAAGTCAGATCTGTTGAACAGATGCACATGCAACACTCAGGTTTTGGAACAAGACTAAAGTCCAGAGGTGGACAAACAACCTTAATTTTCCGCCTAAGTTTACACCCAGTGAACCTGAAGAAGAAGAAGAAGAGATCCTGGGTAGTCGGCATTATTTTAGATATTTTCTCCGGGGTATACAGGTCTGTGAGGAAATTACAAGGCAGACAGATTGTCCGGTTCTGCACCACTGGGTGGGAATTGATACATGCCAAGCTAGATGTGGTTAGGGCCCTTTGGGAGCCAGTGAACGATGATGAGGCATAAGTAGATCCATTATAGTCTGCCGAGCAAAGTGCAAATAGGAGTGACCACGTGATATGACTGTACACTCAGAGGAAAGGTGGACATATAATCCAACTGCTAATGGCACCAATGGAAATGGAACTCTTTGCAGGCTGCTGAAGACAAGGACAGAGAACTTATAGGAATAACCCAAGTGCTGTGAAATTAGTTGGTAACTCACAAAAACTCAACACAGATAATATGGACATAAACACCATCAAAGCAGTACATAGGAAAAGCCAACAAAATTGGCATATGTCACCATCATAAATATTTATAGATGACAGACGTATGCATAATCTGCATGACAGTAATACATTTTTATAGATATCGGACACTGACACAAATGTCCTCAAAGCAATAAACATCCACAGATAACAAATAGTCATTAATATTTTGAAAGAATACATATTTAAATTGCCTTCATACATGAAGTTTCTGGGCTTGATTTGAAAGCATTCTTGGAGACCTGAAACTTGACCTGGGACTTGGTGGTTAGGACTTGGGACTTAACCTAGGACTTGGTGGCTATGACTTGGGACTTGACCAGGGACTTGACCGGGGACTTGGTGGCTATGACTTGAGACTTGGTTGCTATGACTTGAGACTTGGTGGCTATGACTTGGGACTTGGTGGCTATGACTTGGGACTAGACCTGGGACTTGGTGGCTATGACTTGGGACTTGACCTGGGACTTGGTGGCTATGACTTGGGACATGACCTGGGACTTGGTAGTTATGACTTGGGACTTGACCTAGGTGGCTATGACTTGGGACTTGACCAGGGACTTGACCGGGGACTTGGTGGCTATGACTTGAGACTTGATTGCTATGACTTGGGACTTGGTGGCTATGACTTGGGACTTGACCTGGGACTTGGTGGCTATGACTTGGGACATGACCTGGGACTTGGTAGTTATGACTTGGGACTTGACCTAGGTGGCTATGACTTGGGACTTGACCAGGGACTTGACCGGGGACTTGGTGGCTATGACTTGAGACTTGATTGCTATGACTTGGGACTTGGTCGCTATGACTTGGGACTAGACCTGGGACTTGGTGGCCATGACCTGGGACTTGATGGCTATGACTTGGGACTTGGTGGTTATGACTTGGGACATGACCAGGGACTTGATGGCTATGACTTGGGACTTGACCTGGGACTTAGTGGCTATGACTTTGGACATGACTGGGACTTGATGGCTATGACTTGGGACTTGACCTGGAATTTTGGTGGCTATGAGTTGGAACTCGACTTGGACTTGAAAGGTGACTATTCCAACCTTTATAAAAGATTTGTTTAAGACAAACGTTTCTGGGAAGGCTAACCTGGGTATAAAACAATTGCCTGAAGAAGCTAGATGTCTCGGCTGAAAGGCACATATACCACTGCCTGCTATAATATAAACAAGCACAATGCAATGACATCCTCAGATGAATGAAGCAGAAGACAATAAACTTGTTCCCAGTCTTCAGGGTGAGCAACCTGGCATGTGGTGACCACTGAAAAGATCTGTGGAAGAAGGGATAGAGGAAGACAACGAGAGAAGATTCTTGACAGTCTTGTTGAATGGCATGGAGGTGTGTCAGCACACGAACTGATTCATGCTGCAGGAGATCGCAGATTGTGGAGAGGCATGATCGCCTACACCAGTCAGTGAGGCAACTGATGATGATGATGAATTTGGCATGTGGTGACCACTGGAAAGATCTGTGGAAGGAGGGATAGAGGAAGACAACGAGAGAAGATTCTTGACAGTCTTGTTGCATGGCATGGAGGTGTGTCAGCACACGAACTGATTCATGCTGCAGGAGATCGCAGATTGTGGAGAGGCATGATCGCCTACACCAGTCAGTGAGGCAACTGATGATGATGATGAATCGGGCATGTGGTGACCACTGGAAAGATCTGTGGAAGGAGGGATAGAGGAAGACAACGAGAGAAGATTCTTGACAGTCTTGTTGCATGGCATGGAGGTGTGTCAGCACACGAACTGATTCATGCTGCAGGAGAGCGCAGATTGTGGTGAGGCATGAATGCCCACACCAGTCGGCAAGGCTCCTGATGATGATGATGAACCTGACATGAAATAAAACAACCAACTTACAAACAAACAAACTGAAACAGACTCACATCTTCAGGAGTCTTTCTGTAACACAGCATGACACGGGTGAGATAGAAATAGCATTTCTTCAGCACAATGGGACGGAAGAGTCGCTTGCAGTGGTAGTGACACTTGTACAGGTGCCCCTGAATCAGAATGGTCTCATTGCTCTGTTGTCTCACCAGGTAACGATGGGAAGCTAACACAAAAATACATTAGACAAATTTTTCATTTAACATATTCGATTTCTTTAATTCTTCTTAGTTGCTTCTTTACAAGGTCATCAATTCTGATTCCACTTTTCTAAAATTAATGTGACCATAATATCTTGACCTGAAAACGGAACACCCTACTAAAATTTTGAGCTGAAAAAAGGACACCCCACTAATATCATGAGCTGAAAAAGGGACAGCCCACTAAAAATTGGAGCTGGAAAAGGGACACTCCACTAATATCCTTAGCTGAAAACTGGACATCCAACTATTATTTTGAGCTGGAAACAAGACATCCTAGGCAAGTCAGTTTAGCCCCTCCCCCTTTTTTCTAGGTCATCCAGGTTAAAGGGTTATTTACATTATCAAAATATTAACATCTGAAGCACCGATGCCAAGAAAATAAACAAAACAATATGCAAAGAAAAGGAAAGAAAAACAAGCAAAAATGAAGATTTCTATCAACATATTTCACGTATTAAAAGTATCTAAAACTATGACATTTAATAAGGTCTACAGACATAAGTGTACTGTTCTGTTCTCAAGCTTGAACTGTTGTGAATGAAACAATGGATTGCATAATCCTCTCTGATCCTATGGTAGTGGACTGGACACTGAAACTTCTCAGACAGGGTAAACAAAATGTTTAAAAAACCGTGGTCTTGATAGATAAAAGTTCTGACAATTATGTAATGAGACTGATTTTATTATGGCTAAGACAAAAATGCCATCTATGAATCACAGCATGGAATTCAAAGAGGCAACCTTTGTCTATATCTGGCAACTTTTCATCACTACCTGATAAGCAAACAACAAAAAAGCCAATATTTTGTTAACCTAGTCAGAGGTGCATTGTTAAGTAATCAGCATGAAACAAAAAAAAGCTAACATTAAATTCTGTTTAAAACTCAGAAAAAGAGCCATGGCAACAGTTTAATTGATGCGAAAAGTTTATGGGGAAAATTGTTTATCTTGTGCACAGATTTTCAGCTGGTATTCATGATTCAAAAGTGGTGTGGAAATGATTACTAATGCAACTAGACCTGGACGCCCAATTTCTGTTCGTAATGAGGAACTCATTGCAAAATTCAGAGAATGGATACAAGAAGATCGTTGTTCAACTGTGAGGATGATGGTAGATGAATTTGGAGTTAATACAGAGACTCTTCGTAAAATTTTAGTGAAAGATTTGGGGCAAAATAATTTGCTTGCCGGTTTGTATTCAACATCGGTAATTTGTTTCTTCTTTGTGACAACGCACCGGCTCAAAGGGCAGTAGTTGTACAGGAATTTTTGTGCCTAAAAACAAGTGTGTGTTCTCAACCATTCACCCTACTCCCCAGATTTGTCTCCCATTGATTATTTTCTATTCCCAAAATTAAAGTTACCATTGAAAGGACGCTTCTTTGACAATATTTATGAAATCCAAAGGGCCATATCATCGACTTTAAAGGACATAACAACAGAAGAACTACAGAGGTTGTTCCAGTGTTTGTTAGATAGTGCCACTTGCTGCATCAATGCACAAGGGGCTTACTTTGAATAAAATAGAGGTTATATCTTCAACTGTTGATTATTTTAATTTTGATGGAATTAGTCTCATTACTTAATTGTCGGTCATTGTAATATAAAGTGCATTCCCTGTGTGGGTTCCCATGCTCCATTTGGGGTGGGGGGATGGGCCTTGGGAACAGACTCACTCCGTAAAAAGCATGTCATACAAGGTGACTAATTATGGGGGTTTCCTTCAAAGTCATAGTGTATCTACCTGAATGGCAAGGAACCAACAGTATGCATAGAGATAAGCCAGGTCTGTAAAATGGATGTGCACACAAAACTCAAGTTAGGGAACAAGACCAAAGTTAAGGAACAGACAACCAGAACTTTCTGCTAGAGTTTACAGCCGGTAAAAACTAAGATAAAGAGCAGAATGTAAGACGAGACCGTGTTTCCAGTTCATCAGCATCATATGCTATGCCGGCAAGTGTAGGCTGTCATGTTTTGACATCTCACACAAACACAATCATCCCAGATCAGGTCAGTGTTTTTGTATTGCCCCAAGCCATCTATGTATTTATCTCTTTGCCTTCCCTCTGCTCTCTTTCCACCAGTCTTGACAGTAGTTACCAAGTTCTCATGTCCATTCCTTCTGGTTCTCAACCCTTTGAAAATACAAGTTACTTATTCATATAAACTACCATCTTCTGTGTGTGTGTGTGTTTTCCCCTAAGATGATGATGACCACTCTTTTCCATCAAGTATTAGTACAAAGATGACTGATGAGGCCAATTCGGGTCCAAAAAGTTCTTGAACAGTAAGGACAGGGAATGAGTGTTGTGCCAGAGAGGGGATCTTTTGCAGTCGCCTTTCTGTCCATCCTTTTTTTAATCAGTCTTGCTGTTCTGTTTGTTTCACATGTAGCCGCACCCTTGTGTAGAGTTGCATGCCATGCATTTATGTCTTCAGAGGCAGCCTCCCAATTGGTGTCATTCATCCCAAATGCTTGTGAAGACTTCAAGGTGTCCTTAAAGCATTTCTTTTGCCCGCTTTGGGAATGTTTCCCATTTTGTAGCTTAGCACAGAAGAATTTTTTTGGGTGCCTGTGATCTGGCATGTGTGCCACATGACCAGCCCAACGAATTTGATACTGCATCAGTAGAGTGTGAATGCTGGGCATGGCTGCTTTCTCAAGGACTATGGTATCAGGTACTTTGTCTTGCTATCTGATCTGCATTATTTTCTAAGGCCAACTGTGTGAAAGTGGTTTAACTTTCTGGCATGGCACTGGTATACAGTAAATGTTACACATTATCTTCTCTGTACCAACCTGAGAAATCTCCAACATTGACAACTGCATCTAGGTACTCCTTGACTTCTGTGATCTTCTGTGTGATGAGAGGGGTTAGCGGTTCCATCCACAGCTCTTTCCCATGCTGGCCAGGTGTTAGGTTGCCAATACTCTGTACAATCTGGCAACATTTGGTCCAGATTTATTTGCATATTCAGCCAATATTACTGAATATTTGAAAACACATGTGCAAAAATTGCAGCAGTGTAAATGACCTTTCACCGTTTTTCTTCAAAACTGACCTTAATGGCCACATGACCCAACAAGTGCCGATTGGTCTATAAAAATAGGAGCCTAACATCTTTTGCCTGATCTGCCACTTGAATAATAGAGGTCCTTTGCTTATTTACTTATCTGCTTTCATGTGGCGAAAGAAATTTGTGTAACAAGATATAAATTAACTTTGACATCTCCACCTCTTCCTTATTGTTCTTCTTCCTTTCAGCTCCTACTGAAGCATAGTTTGGTTGTTCTTAGAGGTTTACTTTCATTATGGACAAATCTGTTTCTTTCTTTTCTTTTTTTTTTTTAAATTCAACGTGAGGAATCATCAAACCAACCAGGCATAATTACAGCAATCAGAGCACTGGAATATGAAAGGACTCTCAATATTGGAGACAACAAGTAATTGGAATAGTCTCTCATCCTCTGAGACATAGATTAATTAATACATTATCACTCATCTAAGGTGACATGAATTACAGAAAGCATGAAGTCTCTAATCTAAGTGACCTAAATTAGGGAAGACATTAAGTCTCTAATCTAAGTAAGCTAAATTATAGAAGACATTAAGTCTATTATCTAAATTACCTAAATTAGAGAAGACATGAAGTCTCTCATCTAAGGTGACAGAAATAAGATAATGAGACATTAGAGTAACCTTCCACCTTTGGTGACAAAGATAATAAAACATTAGGGTAACCTCTAACCTTTGCTAACAAATTAGGTAAGAGGATATCAGTTGACCTCTCACCTTTGCAAGTAAAGTAAATGTGCGTATAACCTTGCTGTTTGGGTGCTGGTCACTAAGAGAAAACAACTTGGGTGACATGACGGCTGGCGCAAAGAATCGGAGAAAAATGAATCCACTGACAGCCGTGTAAGGAACATCCTGGAACAGAGATCAATAACATCATGATGTTATAAACAAGAGTAACAGTAGTAACTACTCTTCAAACACATCATGAGGTTATAAACAAGAGTAACAGTAGTAACTACTCTTTAAACACATCATGAGGTTATAAACAAGAGTAACAGAAGTAACTACTCTTTAAACACATCATGAGGTTATAAACAAGAGTAACAGTAGTAACTACTCTTTAAACACATCATGAGGTTATAAACAAGAGTAACAGTAGTAACTACTCTTCAAAAACATCATGAGGTTATAAACAAGAGAAACAGTAGTAACTACTCTTCAAACTCATCATCATCATGTAAGCAGGTCCTTTGCAGAATGTCCCTCTCATCACGGTCTGCCTGAAAGAAACTCGGTTTCTCACCAGCTGTACCAGATCATGCACTTTGATATCCATGGATTCACTTATACCCTGCGCCCATCTTCGTGTTGGCTGGTCTCTGTCCCTCCTTCCTGGCACCATACCTTCTGCTATCATTTTCTTTTTCAAATCTGCTTTTTCACTTGACACACCAAAATATTTCAGCTTCTGAGACAAAATGCTGTTTATTAGCCAATCTTCCTTGATGTTCTTTCTTTTAGGATGTCAGCCTTTATTTGTTTCTTTGTCCATTGTATTCTGACTCTTGAAACGTAACAATGCCATGTAAAACATCAAACAGCCAACAGATGCTGATGAAAACGGGGATGACTGCAGTCAAGCAAATACTAAGAAATTAATCCAGTGAACTCTGGCTGGGAAGCTAAAAAAAAAAAAAGAAGATAAAGAAAGGGGAAAACACACACGTAGGAACAGTCGGGCATTTGACAGAAGCCTTTACTAATAAACACCACACAACAAATAGGAAGTGAGAATATGGTGTATGTCAATTAAGGCTCTAGCTGAAATGTCAGATTATTCTTGTATGCATTTTTTCTTTCATTCATTTACTTAGCTTACTAATGATCAGTGAGAATTATTATCACAACACTCTGGAAAGATCCACTGGTGCTCTGATTTCCTCCTCAAAAGCTCCATAAACATAGAGTGATTGATGGCGCCTTTTGTATATTGATTATTCAAACGCAACCTTGGTTAACTGTTAAATTCTCGCAGCTCCAGGCTGAATCCCCCCTCCTCCCCTCCTTCCCCTGTTAATCAGCTAGACAGGAACACAGAGCTATGCCCTTTGTCGTATTCATCCTTGCATTAAGTGCTGCGCATAGCAGCAACAACATCACTTCTGTTCAGTACTGGACCAACCACAGCATCTGAAAGACAGTGTGCACGCCCATGACCTCACGCTTTTTAGTCATGGTTGAGTGGATCAATTTCTTAAACAACTGCTGGGGTTAGTTAACAGATTCTGTCAAGGATACACAACTAGCTTGAGAACAGTAAATATTTATGATCAAATTCATATAATGGTGTCCCTGTGTGGGCTCCAGGTGCCCCATTGTGGCAAAAACAAGAATAGACCCACTGCCTACCCAAAAGCATGTTGTAAAAGTTGAATAACTGGGAGCTTTGTTTCAAGTCAGTGTTCATCTGCTTCAGAGGCAAGAAACCAACAATCTGCATTCACACAAGACAGATCTGTAAATGGGATATCTATGCAACACTCAGGTTCTGGAACAGGACTAGAGTCTGGAAATGGATGAACAACCAGAACGTCCCCACATAGATTACAGCCGGTGAATGCAAAGAAGAAAAGGAATATAATGGTGAGAGTTGCGTAAGAATGTGGTTTCTGATCCACCTTCTGGCCCAGTATTTCTGACTTCAGAATCTCTTAAGAGGGAGAGTGGGCTCATCCTTTCGCCGTTACCTTGTTTCTTGTCCCAACCGGTTTCCCGCGCGGGGGGGGGGGGGGGGGGGGGGGGGGGCTGATTCCCCAACCTACCCTCCACTAGATTACAAGGTTGGTGGAACAAGGTCTAACATGTAAAGGCGAGGTATGCATGAGCAGGAGATGTTAAAAGACATCAGGAGTCTTGTATTGTGTATCACTGCTCCACTAGGACCCCAAAATTATTTGATTAAATGTGTCCTGACCTCACCTCAAACACCTCCTCTGGCCACTTCTCCCGGACTCTGATCTGAATATTTCTCAACACTCGTCGCAGAACCTGTGGGCAGTAGGTGACGGAACCGACAATACTGTTGATGATGTGGTTGATGTAATCTTCGATTGCCTCCAGACTGTGGTTAACAAAACTCTCCTCGGACTCTCTGTGCAGGCTGTGACGCCGACTGACACAAGAATACAGCAAAAATATTGAAATAAACATTTCTGATTCTACATCTCACACAATTATTTGTTATTTTATATAACAGATTAAACTCACTGTACTCCATGTTAAGCTCTCAAAGCTTATTTTTATCCAAACTTAGTTCTCAGTTTAAGGTCTGGGGCCCTCCTGCCATCAACTTTGCCCTCCAGTATGGTTTTAAAAAAGGTGTTGTGTCTTTCAATATGTCCAAAATACTTTAATTGTCTCTTTTTGATTTCTTTTAGTAACTCTATTTCCATTCACAGTCTATCCAGAATCTCTGTATTTGACTGTTTTTGTTTCCATGAGATACAACCTATTCTTCCGTGTATCCACATTTCCAGAGACTTAATTCAATTTTCTAGGGGCAACTCCACCTATTAGAACACTTTCAGTGGCCAGCCTGACCTGTCCAGGGACACAGCAGATCTAGCCGACACTCAACAAACAGGGGAAAGGCAGGATATACACACAGTTAGACTGCTACTGACATCATCGGAATTGGAATTCTGTGCTGGTTGCTGAAGATGAGACTAGTGCACATACTGAAATATCCTTATGGTGATGATGTCAGTTCTTAAATCAACTCAACCAAGCCCAACTCAACCCAACTTGTACAGGTACAATGGCTTACCTGCGCAAACTGTTCACTTTAAAGGGGTCCAGTTCTATGGCTTTCTTCTCATTGATGATACGATCGATGGTAGGCTGCAGAACCTTCTGTAGGTAGGGCATTGCCAGAACCTAGAGACATCAATAAAACGGAGAATTCCCGGTAAGTATGAGAGTGAGGTGAAGCTATACGAGGCACAATAATAAAAATGCTGAGGAATACAGTGAAAGGTGAATGCAGAAAGCTTCAAACAAATATGTTTATCTACCCACTGGTACCCCAAAAATAAAAGGAGAAAGAAAGACAGAGGAAAGGAAGAAAAGAAGTCAGGAATGAAGAAAGAAAACGACCAAGCAACAAACCTTCATAAAATTGTCCACAGATTTGGTGCCGAGGGTATTTCCCCGAAATAAAGTGTTGACATCGTCCGTTCTGGCAATATCTCGGAGAATGACGGCATCCAAGTACTCAAATATCAACTCCTGGCTTAGATAGAACCTCACCAGGGACATGGCAATGGCTCCCAGCTCTATCGTCCGGTCTTGTTCTAAGGAGTCCCATAACAACTGCCCAAGATCTTTGCTCTGAAGGACAAAATCAGAAAACATTAGAATACTAGATCAAAGTTGAAGACACAACAGGACACATTCTGTATTTTACAGATCAATAAAGAAATATTTAAAAAAAATACTTTGTGCTGAGGCAGCTGCCATGGTGTAGCAGCTAGACGCTCACCTGTGGATTCAAAGGTCCTGGGTTCAGATCCTGAGGCAGCTGGACATTTGTTCAAAAACAACTTTGGGTCCCAGATCAACCCAGCCTTAAACAGGTACCAGGTAATTAATATAGGTCTAACCCTATATGACCAAGGTGTGGACAAAGCTCCTTTACTTTACCTAACTTTGCTCTGAACAGCAATAGTATCATTACTGAGATTTCCTCTTTTTTTTCATTTGTATGAGAGTTTAGAAGTGTTGAAAGGTTGAGGGCAAGAGAACAATAGGTAAAAAAAATGATACAAGTTGGAGGACAATATCAAGAGATGAACAAACAGCAGTGTGAGAGTGTACAGCCAGGGCAAGTCATGTTGCAGATCCACTGAAGCCAACCTTTGTTGTGGAGATGGCACCTGATTGATAATGATGGAAACGATCCTGCGTGCCCAATTTGTGATCCTCTGAAAATAAAGTTTGTTCGTTCTCCCTACCAGTAGTTTTCAGATGAGAAGGCAGCAGGCTTCTATGAAAGCTGTGGTATAATGCATGTCTTCTATTGATCCATACAGCTTGGGCTCCACAGACTGAGGAGCTCTCTACTGCCTGCAGCAAGCTTGTCTGTAGCACATGTCCTGTATTCTGGGGCACCATTTTCAGGGGAAATACATTAAGTGCCCTAACAAGCATGTCATAAAAGGGGACTAATTAGGAACGTGTTGGGCTGAAAGGCTCAGATACAGCAACCTAGCTGGAAACCACAACAAACATGCAACCAGCCTTTTAAACAGTGAACATAGAAGAAGAAGAAAATGAAGAGGAAGAGGAGGAAAGAGAGGAGGAAAAGAAGAAGATGATGATGATGACAAAGAAATGAAGATTATGATGAAGAGGACGAAGACGAAGAATAAGAAGAAGGAGAAGAAGAAGGAGAAGAAGAAGAAGAAGAAGAAGAAGAAGAAGAAGAAGAAGAAGAAGAAGAAGAAGAAGAAGAAGAAGAAGAAGAAGAAGAAGAAGAAAAAGAAGAAGAAGAAGAAGAAGAAGAAGAAGAAGAAAAAGAAGAAGAAGAAGAAGAAGAAGAAAAAGAAGAAAAAGAAAAAAGAAGAAGAAAAAAAGAGATGATGGATGAAGAAGATAAAAGAAGAAGAAAAAGAAGGAGGATAAAAAAAAATAAGGAGGAAGAAGAAGAAGAAGAAAAAGAAGAAGAAGATGATGATGATGAAAGAAGATGAAGGAGGAGGAGGAGAAGAAGAAGAAGAAGAAGAAGAAGAAGAAGAAGAAGAAGAAGATGGAGCAGGAGGAGAAGTGAAGGAGAAGGAGAAGAAGAAGAGACAAAGCAAAACCAAAACACAACAGTAATACCATCAACATCCCTCACCTTAACAGCACCTGCCAGTAGCTCAACGAGGGGTCTGTAACAAGAGGAAGGCAGGACAGTCTCCTCCAGTAACTGAAGTTTCACTCGAATCTTCCCTCTGTCTATACGGCTACAGAAGGCATCAATTTATATGTATAAATGTTGATGAATTATAAAGGTAAATGTTCAACAGTTATAAATTTAATTACACACACAATTAATAGTCATAATGAATTATCCCCTCCTTTCTTTCTTTCTCTTTTCTCCTTTTTATTTGACTTCAGCTTCATGATCATGTACAGACATTTGCAGCACATTAAATCTTCACCATTGCTGGTCCCAAGCCTGATTAAGCAAGGAGGAGGATTGGGCATAGGGCCAGCTCTCCCACTCTGTACAAAATTAACTGCTATAGAAACTTGCAGGAAAGGATACCAATCCAGTAAACAAACAAGTCAAGTGGTGCGTGGTGCAAGCTGCTGGCCTGAATTTAATCCAATTTCGAACTCACTGGGAGTCGCCGTGGCGGAGCTGCTAGACGCTCGCCGCAGATCGGAAGGTCATAGGTTTGTTCCCTGGCAGAGCCGGACTGTTTTCAAAAATGACCTTAGCTCCAAGGTTGACCCAGCCTTGAGTGTGTACTGGGTGCAGTCCCGGGAAGTAAACTCTTCTCTCTATCCCTTCTATTTAAAATAAATATTACTGCAATGACTTTTCACTATCATCAGACATAAGCTTTACTTTAACTGTCTTTGCTAACAATCCACAGAAAATGAGGTAGAAATACAACAGGAAAATGCAATATTATGGGTCAGAACACAAGATGATCAGTTGTATTTGCGCATGTCTTTTTTTCCCTTTCATCAAGCGTCTTTGTGTTTTGTTGTGATAACTGACTTGGATATCAGCTCAACTGCAGTCACTCTATTGTAGAATTCAATGTTTTATATTTTTTATTCTGGTACAATGTATTCATTCCCATTCATTCATTATCCTGTTGTGCCATAATATGTCAGAAAGGGCTCATAGTTTATTCCTCCATTCTATTCTATCTTGTGCAACCAGTTCAATATCATGGAGGGAATCCAGTCCAGCAGCTTTGGCCTCTCTCATCAACGTTCATCTTAGGGTTTCTTTTGCCCAGACATTACTGTACACATGTGTATAAACAAACATATATTCTAACACAAATACCTAAATATACACAGAAGTAAAAATGCTGAAGGAAGCAATTTAAATTATTGTAAAACTTCCGGTGATAAATTTTCTAATGGAACAAATGAACCAAGCTACAGCAAATGTACATCACTTAACCAAATATTACCTGGCCCTTCGAGCCCAGCGGTCGCTGGTTGGTCGTCTGGCCACAGCATGCCAATTTCTGACTGTGCCATGAGTCACATCTTCAGAATTCAAGTGGATCTAGACATTACAATACAGAGACATGACTCTATTATGAATTATGACAAAACTGAAAATCAAACATTCTTCTTCCATTTTCTTTACACATATATGCAAGCTTTCTGTTATCAAGTGATATCTTTAAAGAAAAGAATTTGTATAGCTCAAAAACTCTTAACAAAAGCAGTAGACACAGTGAGAACAAAAAGTACTTACTTTCTTCTTTTTCTCTTTCTCCAGTTGCTTCAATAAAGTGTTAGGGGACATGTAAAGATATTTTGTGTGTTCTTTCTAATGTGTTTTATAAGTTGATCTTCATTTCTATAAGTCTGTTATCGATTTTGTTGTTCCACGCTTTTGCATGGTCTAATTCTTTCTCTATCGCTCATCGTATTTTTTTTACTAAAGCTCTCTGTGGCAGCTAACATCGGTTCATTCTCGTCAGATGACCAAACCATCTTATTCCAAGCACCAAACTGACCCATGAAATCACTTCTGAAATTCCCCATGTGGATTCCAGGGCCCCACTGTGGTGGAAAAAAAAGAATAGACTCACTGCCTCCCTAACAATCATGTTGTAAAGTAAAGGACCTATTTCCACGCCATTAGGTCTACTGGGCATACATACCCATATTTTATAGACCAATCGGCACCTGGTGGGCGATGTGGTCTGCATCATGCCGGACACCTTTACTTCCCAGAACTGAACCTTGACTCACTCAAGACATGGGAGCCAGAGTCTTTTTTTTTTGTAAGTCCGGCTCCATCATGACCCAAACCCACGACTTTCTGATGCGCAGGTGAATGTCTAGTCGCTACATTACGGCGACTCCCAAGCATGTTGTAAGAGTCAACTTATTAGGGACACTTTCTTCTAAGTTAAGAGTGCATCTGCCTAGGAGGTGAGGAACCAACTGTTTGCATACAAATAAGCCAGATCAGTAAAACAGATGTGCACGCTTGACTCAGGTTCTTAAGCAAGACAAAATTCCAGAACTTTCCACTAGAAGGCTAAAAGGAAGAAGTCTCCTTCAGAAACACACTATAAGGACTACTTATCTACTATATGTTTCAATTTCAATGTACATGCCACATTATATTACAACTACTGAAGTTCCATATCCTAATATGACACTCAGATCTGATGTACAAGTGCTCAGTCTTCCCCAGTACAAACTGACTCAAAGAACATGCTTTGGAAAATTGAAACTAGTGTCCTGCGTGCAGAGTGGCTTGCATCACTTGATAAGACCCAGATCAAGAGCATATCATGGATTTTCTGTCTAGCATATTCAGGTGTGCGAGGTAACTAGCATGCTTATAGATTGGCTGCTGCTGCCCCTCTCGGCGGTGAGCTACTATGTGATAAAGCAGATGTGGTGAAGGCTCTATGGGATCAATTGGACAGTGCAAAAGAACAGATAGGAAATCCAAATACTGAAAGACTGAAAGACCCATTTAACACGGGCGGAAACAAGGACAATTCTTAGCGTAACGGTTGGCATTTTATGCAATATGAAACACGGCTGAGTGTGAAAAAAACAATAAACGCTTTTCAAAGCGGCGATGGAAGACAAATTAAATTTTAACTCCTAAGTATCTGCATGCCTTCTTCAATAATTTCACGTTTAGCCGACTTTTCTTGATTACTGCCGCGGCAACCCTGGCATACGCAGGGTGTCACAGCACCCATTTTGAGAACCTCTGCTCTACAGTACCAAGCTGGTCCATGAAATTGTCACTGCTGAAGTTGACCTTGTCCCACACCATCATGATGACACTCAGATCTGCCATACAAGTTCTCAGTCTCCCCTAGAAGACAGTCTACATCTAATGTCATAAAGTACTCTAAAGCACCAACCTGGCCCAAGAAATCATCACTGCTGAAGTTGTCATTATCCTACACTGTCATGATGACACTCAGGTCTGTTATACAGGTTCTCAGTCTTCCCCAGAAGACAGTCTACATCTAATGTCAAAAAGTACTCTAAAGCACCAACCTGGCCCATGAAATCATCACTGCTGAAGTTGTCCTTATCCCACACTGTCACGATGACACTCAGGTCTGCTTTACAAGTTCTCAGTCTCCCCTGAAGACAGTCTACATCTTATGTCACAAAGTACTCTAAAGCACCAACCTGGCCCATGAAATCATCACTGCTGAAGTTGTCCTTGTCCCACACTGTCACAATGACACTCAGGTCTGCTATACAAGTGTCTTCAGGCAGCAAGAACTCTAAAGTTTCATTCCACTCCGGAAATCGAGTCTTCTTTTGTTTCTGTAGATGAAAGTAACTGAATATGAAAGGTATCATGTTAGTTCTGGGTTGTTCTTTGCTCGGCACTCAGCCATCAAACTAGAAACACCTACAGTACTATATTCATGTGGTAAACAGAATGTTCATTCCTGAGACTATCATAGTAATATCAGCAATTCTGCATTAGTCAGTTGGGTATCCTTTACACCAACTGCAGCATTCTTTTGCTGTTTGGTTTTACTAGGTAATTTTATGTTCAGTAGTTTGCCATTGCTTATTGCTCAGCTCTTGATACCATTGTGGAAATCAATGCAAAGCGTTCTGCCGCCGAACCGACAGCAGCTGGAATTAAACCAGGTATATCAGAATTTAAAGTGTATTCGCAATACCCAAACCACAAAAGCAGACTAAAGATGTATAAACCAATAAGAAATTAAGAAAGACTGACCATGTAGATGATTGATGGAGAGAATAACAATAACATGAGAGATAGAGAGAATATCAGCTGAGAGATAGGTACTCTCCTGTAGTCTATGCTCCACCTCGAGATGCAACAAACAACCAGGCCAGAATGTCGTGAGACGAACTTGTTCAATGCTGATGCACATAACAGGAACAGTGTAAACAAATATAAAGACATTAAACAGGCATCTCAGCTGAAATATCTGGGAACAACTTTCAGTGAAGATGGGGAAGTGGAAGAAGATATTAACATCTGATGCAGTAAAGCAAACCAAGTATTCGGACATTGAGACCCCCCACAGCACACAAGCACACACAGAAACATCTCATACAAAGCATATTCACCCCCACCTCCCGCTAACAGTGCTAGACATGGTCACCAAAACAAACCAGAAAAAGAAAGTTATGACCATGGAAATGAGATGTCTAAGAATGGCTGCAGGAGTGAACAGAAGAGCTAAAATCAAGAATGAAGTCATGGGAGAAAAAGTTTGCACAAAACCACTCCTGAGTTACAGGGAAAGATAGAAAATCAAATGGTTTGTTCACTTAGAGAGAATGCCTTGTGACACCATACCATAGAGGGTATTCCCCAAACGAGAAGAAAGACAAAGAAAACAGGCAGACCAAGAACAAGATCGAAAGATAACATCAGAGAAATTCTACAAAAGCACAATGTGTCTATGGTTAAGATCACCAAAGCAGCAAAAAGCAGAACTGTAATTCTTCCTCAACACGTGAAGTAGTAACAGAGAAAGTGAAGAAGAAGAAATTGAAATGTGAAGTAATACTGCAATGAGGGGAAGATTTTACTCACTGAGGTGGCCTTGGTCTCATCAAAACATGTCACAGTTACATAGGGGTCTGAATAGCCGGTCTTATCTTTTGGTGCAAGATCACTGTAGATAAGAAGACAATTTATTACTTATTATAGTTCCCTAAGATAGACTTATTTTCCAAAAAGTAAAGGGCTTTCTTCTTCTTCTTCAGCTGTAAACTCTGGTGGAAAATACTGGTTGTTCATCCACTTCTGGACTGCAGTACTGTTCCAGAACCTGAGTGTTGCCTGTGCATCAGTTTGACAGATCTGACACATTTGTGTGCAGACTGTAGGTTCCTTGCCTCTCAGGCAGATGCACTCCGACTTCGAAGGAAGCTCCCAATTAGTTGACTAGATGTAAAAGCTCTTTAATGCCATCAATCCATGATCTCCTTCAGCGGCCTCTTGCTTTCACTTTAGATTTTTTTACGTGTAGCGCCTGTGTTGGTAGTTGTTCTGGTTGCATTCTTACTAAATGACCAAACCATCTGATTTTTAGTTTCTCAATGAATTTGCTGCATGGTGTTGTTCCTACAGTCTGTCTGATCATATCATTTCTAATTTTGTCTTGGATGGTTGAGTTGGCAGCTTTTCTCAGGCATCTTCTTCTTCTCGTGTTCGCTTTCAGATTTACACTGATAGGCACGTTCTTGTGATAAACTTGACTGTTTTTAGGGGTTTAATTTTTTGTTGTTGTTCCATACAACTTTGAGTGCAGTGTTGACTCACTAGGCCAGCATTCCCTTCTTAATGGGTTGTACAAGGGACATTCTTGCAGGAAATGTTTTAAAGTCTGCACACACAGCCCACAAGGGCACAAATGTGAACTACTTAGATGAAGCCTATGCAAATGCTTGTTAAGTCTGTTATGTCCTGTCCTGAGACGCAGGACAATGACCTGCTAATGCCAGTCAAGTAATTGGTAGTCATCTCTGGCCACACTCTGTTCACTTCTGATAGACTGAATGGAAATTTTCTTCTCATATTATGTTACTGCATTCTCTTCCTGTTCACATCAGGCATCTTATTTGGCAGGTGTTAATTTTACACAGGTAAAATTGTATGTGTTCTGCTAAATAAACTTAATGAATGCATTCACTGAGTGAATGCAATCACTGGGTAATAAGCTTACCATTTCAAAAGGGTCGATGTAAGACAGGCCTGCATATCCAGTTGTGACCCTTATAAAACAGTTTCTCCCTCTACAGCTCTCCCCCTATCATTACTAATCACTTTATCCTTCCCAGAAAGCCTCAAAAATGAGAAAGATGACCAGGGTAACCTAACCTACCGTCCCTCCATGACTGTCACAAACACAAACGACTGCCCAGTTGTGACCCTTATAAAACAGTTTCTCCCTCTACAGATCTCCCCCATCATTACTAATCACTTTATCCTTTCCAGAAAGCCTCAAAAACGAGAAAGATGACCAGGGTAACCTAACCTACCGTCCCTCCATGACTGTCACAAACACAAACGACTGCCCAGTTGTGACCCTTATAAAACAGTTTCTCCCTCTACAGCTCTCCCCCCATCATTACTAATCACTTTATCCTTCCCAGAAAGCCTCAAAAACGAGAAAGATGACCAGGGTAACCTAACCTACCGTCCCTCCATGACTGTCACAAACACAAACGACTGCCTAGTTGTGACCCTTATAAAACAGTTTCTCCCTCTACAGCTCTCCCACCATCATTACTAATCACTTTATCCTTCCCAGAAAGCCTCAAAAACTAGAAAGATGACCAGGGTAACCTAACCTACCGTCCCTCCATGACTGTCACAAACACAAACGACTGCCCAGTTGTGACCCTTATAAAACAGTTTCTCCCTCTACAGCTCTCCCCCATCATTACTAATCACTTTATCCTTCCCAGAAAGCCTCAAAAACGAGAAAGATGACCAGGGTAACCTAACCTACCATCCCTCCATGACTGTCACAAACACAAACGACAGCCCAGTTGTTACCCTTATAAAACAGTTTCTCCCTCTACAGCTCTCCCCTCATCATTACTAATCACTTTATCCTTCCCAGAAAGCCTCAAAAACGAGAAAGATGACCAGGGTAACCTAACCTACCGTCCCTCCATGACTGTCACAAACACAAACGACTGCCCAGTTGTGACCCTTATAAAACAGTTTCTCCCTCTACAGCTCTCCCACCATCATTACTAATCACTTTATCCTTCCCAGAAAGCCTCAAAAACGAGAAAAATGACCAGGGTAACCTAACCTACCGTCCCTCCATAACTGTCACAAACACAAACGACTGCCCAGTTGCCTCCGATGTCCGTATGCCATACTCCAAAAGCATCTCCCCCTGGATCTCCAGGTCTTTGTTGGCTTTCTGTAATGGCAGCCAGCTCTCTAGACCTGGGGGGTTCAGAAAGTAGAAAAGATCAGAGACACAGGAAATTATATATATCATAATAAAGAACGTTCTTTCATGTAGAAACATGGGGATGTGCAATAATAAAGGAAGAAAATATGGGCTTTTAGGCTAAAATGCTACAAAAAGTTTCCTAGAATACCAGGGATCAAGAAGAAAAGAAATACTGACATCAAGGAAAATTGGCTTATAAACAGCATCTTGTCTAGGAAACTAAGCCAGACCATGACGGACATGTTGCAGCAAATAAACAAACTCAGGCAAAATTGATCTCCACACAGAATCAGAATTCAAGCTCAGTTAGCAAAGGAACCTCCCCTTAACATAGCAGGCCTTCAGGCGGCTAAAAGAGGATCAAGCTTGTAATTTTTGTTTTCTATGAATCAGAATCCGAAACTAAAATACTTTGGCCATATCAAAACGTCACAATGGACTGGAAAGAACAGTAGCGGAGAGCATGGCATCAGTAAGGGGGGTATGGGCTGATCAAGATGAGCACAGGACACTGGAGGCAATTTAGGTAGAAAGTGCATGCGGCATGACAGCTGATGAAAAACCAAGTTTCTTTCAGGCAGACAGTGTTGGGAGGGATGCTGATATCCAATGACACAAATAAACACTTTCTGGCTGGATTTGAATGGTTACAAATCCCAGAAACCCTGTTCAACTGTACCATCATCTTACAGCAGGTCTTGTACACAATGTTGCTCTCAGCAAGGTCTACCTGAAAGACACTCAGTCTCTCTCAGCTCTTCCACCTCGTGCACTTTCCTACCCAAGGTATCCCTTATATCCTGGGTCAATCTTCGCAGTGGTTGACCCCTGTCCTGCTTTCCTGGTACCATGCCTTCTGCTCCTATGTTTTTTAACCTGCCTTGGTGCTTGATATGGCTAAAATGTTTTAGTTTCTGAAACAATATGCTGTTTACTAACCAATCTTCCTGGATATTCAGGTCTTTTAGGATGTCAGTGTTTAATCGTGCAAGCAAAGCACAGTTATATAGCGAACTTGATGGTTCTGTTGAATTGAGCTGATTCAAGAAGTGACAACACAGCACACGGGGCATTCCCATAAGCGCTCCATCCTAATCTTCAACAGCCAGCGCAGAGTTCTAATATCAATGGTGACAGCAGCATTCTGATTAAACATCCATTTTGCCTTTCCTCTGTGCGTCAAGTATCGGCCAGATCCCACTTCCCGCTGCATCACTCTCACCAGACTGTGGTGATCCATTTGTTCCTCGGAATAGTAAACGTTCTCCCAGAAGGCTCTAACCACATCTGCTTTATCATGCACCAATATTTCACCAAGTTATGCAGAGCCAGCCATTCTGTCCGCTTGTTCATTTCCCAACATACCAGCATACCCCGAGAAAAGATCCAGACAATGATCCTGGCCCGTGACCTTCGGAACGAAGTGTGCCACTTTTAAACTAACCTAACCCACTGTCCCATCATGGGTGGTGTGTATATCCTGGCAACCTGTTGCTACCATCTTTCACCTCCAGGCTACTACATGAAGGTCTGACTGCCCTGAGTTGATAAAATATAAATCTGGATGGCAAGTCAACTGGGCAAATCTCAGCTCAACCTCCAAAAAAGTTTTAACTGCGGCATCCCTGAACTACACACTGCTTGGTTATCCTGCAGTTCTGTGTCAGTAAGCTATTCCTAAACTGCACACTGCCTGGTGTATCCAGCAGTTCTGTGTCAGTAAGCAATTCCTAAACTGCACACTGCCTGGTGTATCCAGCAGTTCTGTGTCAGTAAGCAATTCCTAAACTGCACACTGCCTGGTGTATCCTGCAGTTCTGTGTCAGTAAGCAATTCCTAAACTTCACACTGCCTGGTGTATTTTGCAGTCCTCCTGTGTCAGTAAGCAATCCGTAAACTGCACACCACTTGGTGTATCCTGCAGTTCTGTGTCAGTAAGCTATTCCTAAACTACACACTGCCTGGTGTATCCTGCAGTTCAGTGTCAGTAAGCAATTCCTAAACTACACACTGCCTGGTGTATCCAGCAGTTCTGTGTCAGTAAGCAATTCCTAAACTTCACACTGCCTGGTGTATCCTGCAGTCCTCCTGTGTCAGTAAGCAATCCCTAAAACTGCACACCACTTGGTGTATCCTGCAGTTCTGTGTCAGTAAGCTATTCCTAAACTACACACTGCCTGGTGTATCCTGCAGTTCAGTGTCAGTAAGCAATTCCTAAACTACACACTGCCTGGTGTATCCAGCAGTCCTCCTGTGTCAGTAAGCAATCTCTAAACTACACACTGCCTGGTGTATCCTGCAGTCCTCCTGTGTCAGTAAGCAATTCCTAAACTACACACTGCCTGGTGTATCCTGCAGTCCTCCTGTGTCAGTAAGCAATCTCTAAACTACACACTGCCTGGTGTATCCTGCAGTCCTCCTGTGTCAGTAAGCAATCTCTAAACTACACACCACTTGGTGTATCCTGCAGTCCTGTGTCAGTAAGCAATTCCTAAACTACACACTGCCTGGTGTATCCTGCAGTCCTCCTGTGTCAGTAAGCAATCTCTAAACTACACACTGCCTGGTGTATCCTGCAGTCCTCCTGTGTCAGTAAGGACATATATATATTTTAACTATACCTAACTGTCAACTTAGGGAGCCATCGTTGTGTAGCGGCTAGATGCTCACCTGCAAATCTAAAAGGTCATGGCTTGGAATCCTAATATAGCCTGGACGTTTCTCACAAATTACCTTGGCTCTAAGGCTGACCAAGTCTCAAATGGGTACCAGGTACGATGTTGGAAAGTAAAGGCAGCCCACGCAATGTTGACCACATCACCCCCCAAGTGCCAAATGTTCTATAAAATAGAGGTCTAGCCCTATATGCCTAATACACCTGAAGGTTGGAAAAGGGTTCTTTACCTTACTTCGCCTGCTAACTTGTAATGTATAGCCCTACTTTATATTTTGTGTGGCGAACAGGTTTATATCTCAGGAGGCTAACAGATCTGCAAGCAGGGGTACCACCACAACAATTATAGGTTTTTCACCTCCTTCTTCTTCTTCTTCTTTTAAGCGATCCCCTGCTGTAAAATCTGGCATCAAGTTGTGGTTCATTCACCTCTGAACTTTAGTCTTGTTCCAGAACCTGAGTCTTGGGTGCTCGTCAGTTTTATAGATCTCACTTATTTGTATGCAAACTGGTGTTCCTTGTCACTCAGGCAGATTCACTTTGACTTCAAAGGGAGCCCCAAATTAGAACAACAAGCTTGACGTGGGGGGGGGGGGGGGGGGGGCAATAGGTCTTTTTTTGTTTTCTTCACAATGGGGCCTGAAACCCAAACTGAGATGTTTTTTTTTTTAAATAAATGCTAGTAAAATGTTAGGTAAACATATACACACCTTTTGGGTTCTTGTTCTCATTCAGGTAATCCCTGGTGACGGAGGCTGTGCCAATGATATCATCTCCGCTGAAACAATCAAGCGAAACCACTACTCACATTAATCAGTCCACAAGAGTAGTTTTTTTTTTTTTTTTTTTTGGGGGGGGGGGGGGGGGTAACTTTCTTTCATAAAACAACAGAGGATTACATTTTGTGGCAATTAGACAACAGAACTGGGTTGGGGAGGGAGGGGGTTGGAGGGAAGGGAGGGGTAGCAAATAATATTCTACAAAAACTTATAAATTAATCTAAAAACAGAGCTTACATTTGGGAAAACTGAGACAGGAAATACAATAAACAACACTAAAAAGTAGACATGCATTGCTTGATCTGCATTTCAGCTTCAAACTATTTGAACTTTCTGCTGGAATACGCGTCTGATCATACTTTTTTAATTCTGGGAATTTGTGTAAACGTCTGTAAGAAATTAGAAGGAAAGCAGGCAAAGGGTCAACTACATTTCAAAGGAAGGCGAGAGAGAAGTTCTGGGCATGAGACGCAACCCTGACACATGAGAACCTCTACATTCCTCCACAGAACATAAAAGGTCAGAACTTGAGTTGATCAACTCAAGTCCCGTAATTAATTACTGGTTACTTGACTTGGGGTTTTGTCCAGGCTCATGACTCAACTTGCAGCTATGAAAGGTTCTTAGTAGTCCACAACTGCAAGGTTTGGTGACCAATATCACAATTTAAAATGTCATCAGTGCACAACAGGACAGAATAAATTCTATTTTGATTTAAGCTTTCACATTCAACTTCTTCCACTTTTATATATAATTTAGTGAGTTTTTTGCACCGCTATTTCTGGTTTTGTATTGTCGTCATTTTTTAAAGCCTTCTTGGTGACTGAAGACTTCACTTGCAACTTGATGGCAATTACTTGGACTTGAAAGGTGACAACTTCATCCACCATTTGTAGAACGTATACACCTATTGCACATCCCAGGTGTACCCATGGTTTCCATGCTCTAAGTGTACCAGTTTAACATATCTCACTATATGCTGCATTTTAACATGTGTTTTTTCAGTTTCCAGGCTCTTTTTGTGTGGGTTCCGGGCTCTCTCTGTGTGGGTTCCAGGCTCTCTTTGTGTGGGTTCCAGGCTCTCTCTGTGTGGGTTCCAGGCTCTCTCTGTGTGGGTTCCAGGCTCTCTCTCTGTGTGGGTTCCAGGCTCTCTCTGTGTGGGTTCCAGGCTCTCTCTGTGTGGGTTCCAGGCTCTCTCTGTGTGGGTTCCAGGCTCTCTCTGTGTGGGTTCCAGGCTCTCTCTGTGTGGGTTCCAGGCTCTCTCTGTGTGGGTTCCAGGCTCTCTCTGTGTGGGTTCCAGGCTCTCTCTGTGTGGGTTCCAGGCTCTCTCTGTGTGGGTTCCAGGCTCTCTCTCTGTGTGGGTTCCAGGCTCTCTCTGTGTGGGTTCCAGGCTCTCTCTGTGTGGGTTCCAGGCTCTCTCTCTCTCTGTGGGTTCCAGGCTCTCTCTGCATGGGTTCCAGGCTCTCTCTCTGTGTGTGGGTTCCAGGCTCTCTATGCATGGGTTCCAGGCCCCATTGTGGAGAAAAGAAGAATAAGCCAACTGCATCCCTAGCAAGTTTGTCATTAAGAATTAACTAATTAGGGGTTTCCTTAGAAGTTGAAGTGCATCTGCCTGAGAGGCAAGGAACCAACACTGCTTATAAATAAGCCACATCTGTAAAACAAATGTGCAAAAAAAAAAATTCAAGTTCTGACAAGACTTAAGTCCAGTAGTGGACGAACAATCAGAACTTTCCAACGAAACTTTAAAGCCGTTGAATGCGAAGAAGAAGAAATCTTAATATCTGATGCATTTTAATTGCATTTTTGGTTTCCTGGCTAAAGAAAAACAGCTGAAAAACAAGGACGCTGGAAGATATTTTTCATTCAGGTAGTAACCGAAAACACACACAAGCTGCTGACTAAAACTGTGTACTCACCTACTGCATCCAGCATCACCAAGATCAGGGTTTATCGAAGCGAAGATAATTCACACAGAAAAATGAAATAAAAAATAAACAAACAATGAAGAAACATCAAAAAAAATCAAGCAATGTTCAAGGATGAACACAGAATGTGGTAACATTAAAAAAACAAAATGTATATTTAACAGTTTTGAAAAGAAAGTACACTAAAATCAGAATAACAACATAGCATAGGGGGAGGGGTTCGTAGGGATGAGGTTTCACTAAAGAGGTGTGGGTTCTGCCTCAACTCGAGATATAAAATACAATTTGTGCCATCTCCATAATAGAGTTTGGTTGCAATGTATCCACCACTGACTATGGAAATATTAGGTCAGGTCACACAGTGCAACTCTTGCACCACTGTCGACTCTCTATAAAAAGTAGGTCACAAAAGCTACTAGCCAGGCTGCATTTAAAAACTAGAAAACCCAATCGAAAATGAATACTACTTGGAAATACTATCATAGCTGGCCTACACTGACTGTTGATACTTCAGTAAACTTTTCTGATCTTAGGGAATTCTCGCAGCAAATGCCCAAAGCTGTGAATGACCACTATGAAAAGTCATAAATGCATTACTTTCAATTGGGCAAAATATGCAGCGAAAGCAGGGAAGCCAGATTTTGTGTGTGTGTGCTCTGGTCAATAGTAAAATGGGAATAAAAAGGGTGGGGTGAATACACTATCATCATCATGATCATCATCATGATCATCATCACGTGCCCTGCCAACTAGCATAGGCGCTCATGCGTCTCCTCAGATCACAATCCCTAGTTGCTTGGAACATTTCTCTTGATGAAACCTCCATGCTATGATTTCAGCCCATCCAGCATCATCTCTCTTGGTCTGTCTCTACCTCTTTTTCCACTGATCTATCCAGTTGTTACGATGTTCTCCGATGTCTCTTTTCTCATTATGTGGCCAAAGAACAGTGTCTGTCTCTTTTGTATTGTTGTATATAGAGATCTACTTTCATTAGCTTCTTTGTAGCAAACGTTGTAAGTTACTCTGGTCGTCCAAGGTATTCGTAACCTTAGTCTCAGAAACCACATCTCTGTTGCTTCCTAATTCTTCTTAATTTGTTCACTGACATTCCAAGATTCACTGCAATACAGCAGATCAGGTTGTATGCAAAATTTTAGCACCCTCTTTCTGACATTAAATGAGAGCGATTTATTGCATAAGATATTTTTCATTTTCTGACCTATTCTGCTTTATCTCTATCAAACATTTTCCATATGATGAAATGATTGTTCTCAGATATTTAAATTTATTGACTTGGTTAAGTCTTTTTTTTTCAATTGAGATATCACAACGTGGAGTTATCTTCTACTTTGATATAACCACTACTTCCGTTTACACTATCCAATGGTTGAAATATATGCGGGTAAAGTCCATTACTCATCCAGCGTATCAAGGGTTTGAAAGAGCTAAATTACTCCTACACGAAACACTTCTGCTTCTGTGTTCGTCCCTAAAAGGGCACTTGGGATTTTGTGCTGCAGTTTACAGCTAGGCTGGAATATCCTTGCCTTTCATCCCAACAGCAAATTCCTAAAAAGTTGCCTGTTACATCATGCTTGTTAGGGCCCAGTTGGTCTGTTCTTCCCCACCCCAACAGCACTCCAAATCCACAAGGGCAAAATGACATACTACAATATTACACTGACTGTTGATACTTCGATCAATGTCATCTTAAAATCCATGACTGGGTAATGTGTTTATGTGATACACCTCAACAGGGCTTGACAACATGGGCAGGCAGACCACAAGTAGATCCAGAAAGCCAGACACTGTACTATGGCTCTCATCCACAAATAATGACATGATTTTATCAAATATGCTTGCTTCCTAGTATGTGCGTAACAAACAATGAGATAAGAACTGACATCATGGCACTCAGGACATTTCTGAAAGCACCCTGACCCCATCTTCAGCAGCAGAGTCCAATTCCAATGGTACCAGTAATAGTCTTACAGTATGTCCGCCTTTTGTGCATAACACACACACACACACAAATTCAATTAAAAAGACTTCTCTTTTAAAATTGTTGCAAGCAAAGGAAGGTATGACATCGTTTGGACAAATAATCATCTGGGAAAAGGGAGGGGGGGGGGGGGATAGGAGGAGATATGGAAACAGTAGGTGGGTCATAGGAAGAACTGGTACATGCAAAAGGGGAGACAATAAATATTACAGAGTACAAATAAATTGATCACATAAATAAAAAAAAAAATTTAAAAAAAACGTTTTACACCAGAGGTGTCTCAGGCTATGATATTAGACTCATATTTTATCATTTTCATACCTGTTGTCTCAGAATGTATGTATACTATGAATTTCTACTTATATATAATATAATCCCACTTGTAATTATTACAAGTTTTCTTTGTAAAGATATGCTGAGCTAAAGCAATGGCAAAAGCAGAAATTCTTCTATAGTTAAACAGGGTTTCTGGGACTTGGAGGATTCTCATCCGAACGGAGGCACTTCGTATTGCCGGGTGTTAGTCGCCAGTTGTGCAGTCCAGGTGTGGTTGAATGTCACTCAACAAGAATTCTTCTTCTTCTGCAATTACACTCAAAGCTCAGTAGGCACACTGTGTTGTGATTTACAGGTAGGCTGCAATATGTGCACCTTTCTGCCCCACACCATCCAACTTTGCACACTCTTACTCAGTCGTCTTTATGGGTTCCGGGACTCCCATTGTAGAGAAAACAATAACAGACCCAATGCCTCCCCAACAAGCATGTCGTAAGAGTCCCCTAATTTGGGACTTCATCTGCCTGAGAAACAAGGAACCAAAAATCTGCAAACAATTAAGTCAGATCTGTTAAACGAATATACATGCAACACTCAGGTTCTGGAAAAGAGTACCAAAGTCCAGAGGCAGACAAATAACCAGAACTTTCCGCCAGAGTTTACAGCCAGTGAACGAGGAGAATAAGAAGAGTCGTCTTTACAACATGCTTAGGGGGCAGCGGGGCCAATTCCCCCCCCCCCCCCCACCCCTTCTTGGCCCTAGAACCTATATGGGGAAGACCAAGACCTCTAATAAAGGAAAGGTTATAAGGTTAATACATACTTATTTAAAAAAAGCATGTGTATAATGTTTTGGGACATCAAGTATTTTTAGGGACATCAAGTATTTTTAGGGACATCAAGTAATTTTTAAAACTTCTTTTAAATAGGAACTAAACATGAAAAGTCATCTTGCAAAGAATTTGTGTTATTAGTCTTCCTTCCACACATTTCTCCATGTTAATGAACATCATCATCAACCTCCACTTTTGTCATTAAACATAGTATGAAAGAACAGTTTTTAGTCAACTGCTTGATGGGTTGACAGTGGCACTGGCTACTGTAGATGTTCAACGCTTTTAATGTCACTTTAACTATCTGTTCATCATGATGGCAACATGACGGTAACAGAGCTAGACGTCAACAGTGCAGAAGATGGACCGCAGAAATATCAAGACACTGAAAATTAATTTATACAAAGCAAACAGAAGGGCCTGTTCCAGAGATATCTTCCTGACCTGATGATGCAAGTCATTCTATGAGTAAAGAAAAGAAGAAGAAGATGGTTCATTACATCCGATTTCAACAAGCATTTTTTTTTCTCTCAAATTTGCTTTGCATTCCCTAGCCTTTGACTGTCCCAAGTCTACCTACAAGGCAGCAGATTTATGTACCTCTCTGTCTTGTTCCTCTCCTTTGACCTGTTTTATACAGAAGACCATTGGCAAAACTGTTGGAGGTCACTGGAACATACACACTGTTCTACCACTTCCTGATGAAGATGTATGGGAGGAGAAACACAATCTGATTATACAATCTGTCTTGCCTTTCCTCTGAGCTCACAGTGTTGATCAGATCCCCTGGTCACTTCTAGCCATACCCTTCTCACCAGACCATAATGATCTATTCATGCCTCCACACTGTTAACTTGCATTCAAAGGGCCTTGTCCACATCTAACTTCTTGTCATGCAAATTCACCACCCACTGGTGCAGAATCAGCCAGTCTGTCTGCCTGTTCATTTCCTAATACTTCTGCATATCCTGGGAAAGCACACCAACTGTGCTATTAAGCAAATGCCTTGTACAAACCACACCACATACAAATCATTGCACTGCTGAACGGAGCATATCCCCCACATGCATCTGAGAAGACAAACCTGACTTTGTCAGCATCGTAGATGTAGAAACTCAGCATCTGGAAGCCACTGGGCATGTGTAAGATGAATTCCTCACCCCATAGCGGGTCCAAGGTCTTGTAGACGGTTGCAGTCCTGCAGATATATTTTATATATATGTCAGGATTATATTTATGTCAGGATACAGTGCTTTATGTGACATAACCAAAATCAACGGGATCAATGGGATGCTCTGGTAGCAAAGCAGCAAGACCAGAGTCCTCCCCATGCCGCTTAATGACAAAAGTGGAAATATGATGATGATGATGATGGTGATAATGATGATGATGGTGATGATGAAGATGATGATGATAATGAAAAATGAAGAGACTGAAAATGTCACAAACTTTGAATACCCTGGCTCTATAGTTAACTAGAATGCAGATTTCAACAGAAGTCAGAAGGGGAGACTAGCCACAGCAACACAGAAGTTAAACAGGTTTACTTGTCTGACTCTGAATGATAACAATGTTCTTCATGTTATTTAAGAAAGATTCTCTAGCTGGTCTCACCGTGCTATGACCACGTTGTCCACTTTGATCACACAGTAAGGATCACTCTTGCCATTGCTGAAATGAAATTTACAAAATTTAATCTTTGACATTTTCTACGAAATGTATCATCAGTATATCACAAGATGTATCATCAGTATATCACAAGATGTATCATCAGTATATCACAAAATGTATCATCAGTATATCACAAGTCCTTTGTAGACTATTGCTCTCTTCATAGGAAGGACTTGACTGATCACATTCTTCCCTTCTAACCAGCTCCCTATGCATTTTCAAGTCCAAAGTATCTGTCATGTTCTGTATCCACCGTCATATTTGTTTCGTGTGACTTAAACTGTAATCTTCAACTGAAACCAAACATAACTTTACACAATACAAATTAACGAAGAGCAAGAACCTACTTCAATTTAAGGCAACCATGGTAGTCTAGTGACTAACATGTGTTTTGAGGAACGGAACGAACCGCCGAGTTAAACTCGCCGCCGAGAGTGTTCCCCGAGCCGCGCGTAGTGGCACGGATGGGGCTAAACTAGATGGCTGGGACCCACGAGCAGCAGCTTAAGCATCTCCTGCAGCTTGCTCGTGAGTCCTAGCCATTTAGTTTAGCCCCAATCCACGGCGCTCACGCGGCGTGGGGGCCACTCTCTGCGGTGGCGGTAGTCGCCGGAAAAGCACAAATTGAGTCGCCGAAAGTGCGCAATTGGCATGTGACTGAGGCCCTGTTTTTGGCCGGCATCTTTTGTGCTCATTATTCAGAGGATAGCCGGTTTCTGGATGCTACTGAAGAGAAAGCTGCAATACCAATCTGGTGTGAGCCACGCCTTGTTCCGATCGTACTTAGCTGAGTTTCAAATAGCCACAAACAGCAGATTTTCGGGCTCTATTTACAAATTCTGTGCCATAATTTCCAGATATAAAAGCATAAAATTATCGGTAAGTAGTCGATTTGATATAAAAATTTTTTCATTCCTTTTTAGTTTTGACTTCAATTTTTGAATGTTTCCAACACATGACACGTGACTGTGGCTCATCAGGATATTCTGCGGCCGCCATCTTCCTGCCCGTTATTCGGAGGATAGCCAAATGTAACTGGTGTAACAAAATATACCAAACGCTGACCCGTTCAAAAACTGAGTACTAAGAAATGGGCTCTCCTTTGAATGGCGTCATAATATTATGGCGGCCATAAAATATCCAAAAATATCCATAAGGGACTCAAATCTATTATAAATATGCCGGCAACGTATAACGAAACAAATGCTCTAACAGGGTCTCAGCGATATGTTACTTGCGGACTTGTTTTTGTGACTGTGCCTGCCTCACCGCCAACCGTATCCCCCTAAACTAGATTTCTGGGACTCACGAGCAGCATCTACCGCATCTCCTGCAACTTCCTCCAACTAATTTGCTTGTGAGTCCAAGGCACATAGTTTAGCCCCCCCCCCCCCCCCCCCCCCAATCCCCCGCAGCGCGGGGGATATGCTCGGTGGTAAGTTTAATCTCATTTTGCGCATGCCGAAAAGTGTGAGGATACAGGTCGGCAGGTCTGACATCTACAGCTGCTAAATCCTCAATCGGACTCCGAACAGTATTGCTAATCTGTGTGGGAGCGCGTGGTCTACCCGCCATATTGCTGTCATCGTCTGTAATGTCTTGAAATTGTCAACGGTCGCTATTATCATCTGCTAGTATCGTCTGCAGAAACGCTCAAAATTGTCAAGGGTCGCTATTATCGTCTGCTAGTATCGTCTGCAGAAACGCTCGAAATTGTCAAAGGTCGCTATTATCGTCTGCTACTACTGTGTGCAATGTTGCGTCTGTTGATATAGTCAAGTAACCCTAGTTTTGCCGCGATTTGTTCCTTGGCAGAAAGTCCGCATTTTAGATATGCCTGAGCCCCGTAGGGATATTTTTGGATATTTTATGGTTGCCATAATATTATGATGCCGTTCGGAGGAGAGCCAGAAATGTATTGGGGATGTAGTCGTGGCCATCATGAAACTGGATCTATTAACCATCAAATATCGAGTGGTCTAACAAATTTCAGCCCATATTATTTAATCAGTACGTCACATTCTGCGGGAAAATGAGCCGTCTGCCCGTGTTGAAGGGACAGGGGCAGTCGGTTAAGCACCCTTCCCCCTTCCCCTTTTTTCACTAATACTAATACTTTTACCATTAATACTTACCCACAAGACACGGGACAAAATTATCCTTGAATTTAATAACTTACAATTGGAACATCAAAATCACAAACAATTTTCATGATTGCACATCTCGAAACCGATTTTGAAATCCAAAACTACGCAGGCAGAGAAACTCACGGTAAAAAACCCAAACAAAATTTAAAGTGTCGTCTGCTATGGGAGTCACTTCAGAAAACGACTTACAAATCTTTGGCCAGTAATTCTTTCGCCTCAGAGACTCTTAGATACAACGTGGTATGTGTAGACACCATCCTCTCACAGACAGATGAGATCATTTGGTGTGTAAAGCATGTTTTGCTGCCGATGTCCGTGCTGGTGTCAATCTGTCCGACTCAAGATTTGTTTATTGATCAACCGCTGCAGACACCGATGTTGTGATCATGTCGGAAGTGATGTCACCTCATTGATGAATTATACATTAATATGTACTCACACTGAGTGAGTCAATTGCCGGCAAAAGTGCATTGCCGACTCACGTTGGTGATAATGTCGTTCAGCCTCTCTCTCTCTCTCTCTCTCTCTCTCTCTCTCTCTCTCTCTCTCTCTCTCTCTCTCTCTCTCTCTCTCGCCCCCTCTCTCTCTCTCTCTCTCTTTCTCTCTTTGTTATTGTGTGTTTAAGTGTTATTTCTATGAGTTTTGTGTCTGTGAGTGTTGTGTTTGCTTCTTCTTCTTTCGTTCTCTTAAAATAGACAATCTAAATCTGCACTTTTGTCTCTAGTATGAACTTCAACGTCTGTTGTAATTCAGTCGCGATCTGTAAAGTTTGCACCGATGTTTCTCGTGGCCAAAAGTTTTGCCTTGATATCTTATATTTGGGACAGTCTTAGAGGACGTGATCTGTTGTCTCAGGTGCTAATCTTCATGTCTCTTGGCTGATTCGCCAATCTTAAATTTTCTGAACATGTGGCTGCAACGTCGATTGTGTCCTGTTCTAAGACGTATAATAATGACTTGTTCTTGTCTGTCCATCATAATGTAATAGTACTTTGACGGTTTTGGTAGCTTTACGATTGAACTGGTTATTCTTTTCTTCTGTTGATAGGAGACTGTTACGTCAGATTCACTATGCTATACTCCCATGTCACACAGTCGTGTTAATGTCAGAGATTTTTCATTATCCACTAGCCCAGTCCATACAGCGTTGACGATATCTGCTCTGTGCATGCTTCTTTCAGCATGCGTTGGTGCATTGCTTGCCACTTGGTCCGCTCGCTCATTACCTTTAACGCCCGCACGGCAAGGTGTGTAGATGCAGTGAGGGAGTTTGGTGCTATTTTCGAATGCTTTCTACCCATTCAGAGCACACACCGCCTGTTGCTATCTTATGAAGCATTTTCATGGAGTCTGATAAAATTGCTGCCTGTGTGGCTGTTTGCTCGGATACACATGCTAGTGCTCTAGTGCAGCGGCTATCTTCGTGGTCAAGCTTGACGTTGTTGTCTGGTAAGCGCCGCTGTCCTCTTGTATTGTTTTCCCCATTCTTTGCGCTGTGTATGACCATGCTGACCTTGATCCGCGCTTCACGGATCCGTCTGAGTAGATAATATCTTCTGGATGTTAATGCTGATCTATCAGTGCCCTTACCTCTGTGTCTGCTGCTGCAGGAATCTGATCCCTGCCGTACCTTCCGAGTGTGATGATAACCCCAGAGATGCATGTCTACTGATTTATTCGTCAATTCTTTTCCGTGACTGATCTCGTCTAGGTCACATGCTTGCTGGATTAAAATCTTTCCATTCCCTCCTGGAAATCCTCTTATGTGTCCTATGTAAATACTGCAGCATTGCACCATGCATCTCTCCCCGGGCGGAAACCACATAGTGTAGCGGGGAATAGACCACCTGACTCCAATGTTAAGGTCAACGTTCTGGTCACGATTTTTTTCCTACAGTGTTCTGGGGTGTGATGATTCTGTAGCCATGTCTGGTCTTTCCCTGGCTTAGGAGGGGGTCTGGGGTAGCTATGGAGCTTGTGTATGTGTTGCGTCTGTAAGTGTTGTGTTTGTGTTCAATCTGTATGTATGTATTGTGTCTATCGAGACATCAATTAAGTCGACCATGGTTATGCCTGTGTGTCTGTGTTGTGTTTGTGAGAGTGCGTATGCCTGTGTATATTGAACCTGTCTGTGCGTGTTGTGTCTTTTCGGTTTTTTTTCCTCTCTTCCGTGTATGTGTTGTCTGTGTGTATATATTGTGTATATATTTGTACTGTGTCTGTGTTTATGTCATGTTTGTGATTCTGTGTTTACCTGTTTTTTGTTATTTGTGTGTCGTCAGTGTATGAGCCTCTGTTTGAGTCTGTGTATGTTTTGTGTGCTTATGTCTCTACGTCTGCCTCATGTGTATCTACTTTGTATGTGGCGGTGTGTGTGTCTGCCGTGAGTGTGTGTTTCTGCACGTATATTTCAAGGTATGCATTTGCCATCCACGTTTTTGTATTTTTACTTTCATCTTCTGTTTAGCGTTCACCGGCTGTAAACTCTGACGGAAGATCCTTGTTGTTCGTCCACATCTGGACTTTAGTCTTGTTCCATAACCTGAGAGTCGCATGCAGATCCGTTTTACAGATCTGACATATTTGGAAATCGGAGCACCTTTGGATTTGTCCGGTGTAAGTAAAGTCTTTGAGAACCCCCCCCCCCCCCCCCCCCCCAATCCCTTACAAAACATTTAATGGATGGGCGCCAAAAACCATCTAACAATTTTGTAAGGGGCTAAGATTCGTGTCTAGAAATTATCTGTTAAAATATTTCTTCATAGATTTCACGTTATTTCAAGTATCTTCTTCTTCTTCAGCATTCCAAGCCCTTGAGGTTCATTGCTGCAGATATCACCCGTCTACGCTTAT